GTGACAAGACCAGACCTCCTCAGACCTGTTCATCCTCAACCTCCTGCAGGCCGGACCCCCTTTACCATCTGAGCCTTTCTGCCCAACATCCCAACCTCACATCTCGCACCTCGCTGGTGATCCGCTGCGGCAGCTCCCGATCCTCCAGCCGCTCACCCGGCAGGATCAGGAAGCCTGGGTCTCCGGGTGAGCGGTCTCCCAGGTGGGGACCCCGGAGGGCCAGGGGTGTCGTGTCCTCCCACGCGCTCTGAGAGCGCATGGACGATGAGCTCCGGCTTTTTTGGGAGATCGTTCCAGACCACTGGGCGGGCTGGTGAAGCGGAACATTTGGGAACGTCGTTCCAGTGGAGGTTGGGTGGTAAGGAGCTTTCCAAGGTGATGTGGACTGAGAAATGTCTTAACAACGACATGGTTGGAACCTGACTGAGGGTGGTAGTGTGGAGGTTCCATGAAAGGACTTCCCAAAGTGGCTGCAGGATAGGATTCATTGAGGCAGTTTCCTCTTCCTGCCTGGGTGCAGGATGAGTACAAATGTCTTACAACGCTACACCTCCTATGAAAACTGTGAATCGTTCGGGACCTCAGAGAAGCTGTTAGCAGCGCATTTGTGTCACGCATGACAATTACAGTAACTCAAAATAAGGCAACTGGAACTGGTGCAAACAGCCTCGATTCCTATCAACCATGAGGCTCACTTTCATGAAGAAGTTCACTGGGATCTCCCTCAAATGGTTCTTGGCATACATCCAATTTGCAGCCCAGAATTCTGAGGCAACAGCACAAAATCGCGGAGATCACAGCAATGAGCATGAGGCCAAACCTAATTACCATGCCATTCCACTTGTGCGCAGGATCATGCAAGTGTTAAAAAAAAACAAAAAATAAAGCAAAAAAACACTTAAAAATAGAAGCCGTAGCTAGTTCCCAAGCCGGAAGTTCTCAGATGGGCACGTTGGATCCCCCCTCTCATCTGTTCTTCTCACCTGCCAAGGTATAAAGGTCAAGGACGGAGCGCCCAGCGGTGGGTGCACGGAGTGAGACTGCCCAATAGATAGAGATGTAATCCCCTGTGACACGTGTATTACTGGACAACCTTTCAATGACCAACACGGCAAAGCCATCTCAATCACCAAAATGATTTTGTTCAAAACCTTTCTACTTGGGGAGAAAAAAAGTCATAGCAATTCACGAAGAATTCCTCGCTCTCCAATGAGATCTGGCATGAAGCATGAGCATGAGCGTAACCAAAAACGTCCCAGTGCAGCACTAGCTTTCCAACATGGGGCACTAAGACAGAAGAATCTCCTAGAAGTTCGTGCATCCGAAGCTGGGTGTGCAATTTCGACGAAAGACTCCACCATCGCTGAATGCTCCACCAGCGCGGAATGCATAAAAATTGATGGAACTCGCTTCAACCTTCCATGCCTCATTCCAAGCAGCCTGCCCATTCCAACCAGCTGCCTCATTCAAAGCAGCTCAAGATCGCTGCTTCCTCTTTGCGAGTACGTTGCCCAAAACACGAGCCTCGTAAGAGCCCAAATCGACCAATGAACCGCCGATCCGCGAAAATCCAAGGCACGGGATCCGCAGGATCCGCTTTCGGTCCTCGCCAATGCGCAAGCCTCGATCGAACGAGGTTGGTCGCAAGCCTCGCGAGGCCAGCGAGGTCCCGGATGGCGACAGTGGAAACAAGCAACCAGCATTCTCAGCCCTGGACCCTGGTCTCTTCCTGAAAGTTCACAGCTGTCTTTTGTAGCGCTGGCGAACTATGATATAATGTTATAGTCATATAGTGTTGAACCTACTTTGTTTATCCAAGCAGCTGAAAACTTGCATGAGCAAAGTGCCCCATTGTCCTCGCAGTGCAAATTCAGTGCTTGTGAGAAACCCAGCAATTCCGCAAGTCCTTCGGACATGTAGAAGGCTGCACCCAGCCTGAGCGAGCCGTTCAACTTCTGCGACTTGCTAGGCAAAAGAGCCAGCATGAAAGCTGCTATCCATTCAATCCATTCAATCCAGGATTATACAAAAGTGTTCATCAAGAGAGCCAAACTCCTCAGCAAAAGGTGTTGCTGCTAGTGAACGTCCTGCAGCATAGCACAGCGATCACGAACGAACGAACGAACGAACCGAACGAACGACGCAACTCCCGACTCCCGACAACTCACTTGGGAGGCGCCGTTTGACCAACAGTAGCGTCCTGGTTTTGAGACATCAATTCCATCAACATGCTCGGCTCTACACTGTGACTATCGGCCAAGCACAGGTGTCCATCGGTGAGAGATCCGTCCAGTCTAGAAAGCTCCGGTGTAGGTGTAGTAGATGTAGTAAGAAGGGTCTAGGCACCTTTCTGAGTGCACAAACACTCTGACCACATGTGGAATGTTCCTTCTGGATTCCTTGCAAAACGAAATGGCAATGATCGTCTGGCATCATGGCATCGAAACACTTGCGAGGTTTGGTCTCTTCACGGGCGTTGGATCACAGAAAGTTTGCCAAGAGCAAAAGGCTAAAGGCAAGCCAAGGACCAAAAAAAGTGGTGTTTGAAACCGTGAACAACGGGGCACAAAGTGATGTGACCGTGGAAAATCGTGAATCGTCCATCATGACGCATCTCACCAACGAATGCCGGAAGAAGAAACCCCTTAAGTGATGGTGAAGCCTGAGATGACAATGGTCTGGAAGAAGAAAGCATTGAAAAAAAATGACTAAACATGAGGCCAAACAATTCAATCACACAACCACGTTAGCAATGCCTGTGCAGACGGGCAAAGATTGACGTTTCTTCCTCATTCACATGTCTCAATCACTTGTCATATGCCGGCATATACCCTTTCTCGCACATGGTCTCTGCGTGCGTGTCACGTACCTGATGTTCGTCAAGTAGGTAGTGTACACATGTCAAATGCATCACGCACATATGATGTGCATATGACATATAGCAAATTTTGCAAATATCTTTGTCAAAATGACATGGAGCGGAAACGATCACCAAACAACAGGAATTCGGACAGAAACATGACCAATCCTTCTTGTTTGTTTTGATGGTGCAGTCCTTGAATCCTTGAGCATCTTCGGCCCAGAAAAGGTTCAGTCTGCTCTGAGTACGTGTCAAAAGATTCTCTTGGTGCTGAAGTGTATTCCTCATGATGGGTGATGTTGATAAAATTCACTATGTCAGGCATGGCAACATCAAAGTTCACTGTTTGTCACAGAACATGGTAAAGGCTCTCCTCCATTGAACTGTCATTGCTGCGCACACACAATGGACATCTACTAAATGTTGACTGAAAGCAAAAAAGAACAAAGTATTTCCAACATTTGTGTTTTTGACTGTTTGGATTCTAGCCGCTCATTTTTGACAACCAACAATCCTTTCAAACAAATCCACATTTATCCGACCTGTCGAACAATCTTCATGCGAACTCTGCATCTTTCCTTGAAATTTAGCATCAAAACAACGCACATCACTTGACATCAAAGCACACTAAAACTGCTTCAACCGTGTTTTTTACGCTGGCAACGAACCCATGCTTTGGAGTTGGACCCAATGCAGGGGCCCAGATCACAGAGGCCCAGTCAGACACGGCGGCCATTCACGAATTGGCCGTCACGACTACCGAACAAAATGAAAGATTGCAACAATTCCTTTTGTTCCGGCCGCTGAGGACAGTGTGAACGATGAAAAGAGAAACACAACCATGAACCAAAACCGCTGCTTCCAACCAATTGTCCGAACCAATTGCCAACCAATTGTCATCAACCAACCATCATCAACCATTGCCACTGCACTGATTGCCCATTGCCACCAGCCAATTTGAAAGAAATTTCTGCTGGAAGGAACTGCAACATGTGGTGTTGTGGACACACACGCCCAAGCACCTTCAGGGCCGGTGGATTTCACCTTCTTTGTGAAAAGTGGCGAGCCTTACCCTTGCCGGATCCGCACCGGACAAGCAACCTTTTCGCGCCAACTCACACGAACACAAAAGTACGTGTTGCTAGTGTCTTTAGCTTGCTTTGCACTGTACTGTTTCTAGCTAGCCACACTTGAGCCACGTTCCTTCGAACGTAGTGAGTGTTTAAACACTTTCAGGTGGTAGAGGTGGTATCACCCACCTTTCCTCTCTTTCCATCTTCTACAAACTACTAGAGGCTGGAAGCAACATACTGGATGCTGCCCCCCCTTCAGACAGGTGCACATCATCACACATCAGAGTCAAAACTTTGTGTGTGCACCTTTGATTGCATCACTAGGGGGAGGTAACATCCAGGATGTTCCTTCCTATCCAAGAGAGTTCTAGCAACACACATATACATCATTTCTATATCCAAAAACCTGCACACACGGATCTATCGGATACTATACATATCTATACACAGACCCTGGTCACACTCGAAGCTTCCCAAGCTTCGTTCTCCACTCATAGCCAGCGTCCACTGGTCATATTCAGTGCATCCAAATCTCTCCACACATGCTAGCGATCGCTAGCACCAGAAGGTTAGAAAGGCAGGCGCCAGCCAAAGCCAAATCCAAGGTCACGACGTTCTCTACCCACACTTTCACACCCCCTTTCGGCGTGATCCTGCAGCTTTCCAATGAACTTCTCTTCAAAGGTTCAAACATGGAAGTTCACCTTCATGAATTAGTTGAAAAAACCTGTGTTCCAGACCGCAACCTCGTTGCGCCATGAAGAACCAGCTACAGACTGCAACTCAAAGCTGCTATGCCACAAAAATCGAATTCTTTCGAAAACCAGTCGGAGTCGAAGACTGCCATTCGTTGCGGTATGACAAACCGTGCGCTACAGACTGCCACTTCGTAGTGCTTGAAATCAAATCCAGCGGCAGACTGCAACAAATCGTGTGTCTTTGAGGCCAATCCACCATGCTCACATGTCGCATTCACGACTTGTACTTTCGCTGCAACTTGCCAGCGCCCATGATCTCATCGGCCTTGCGGGTACTTTAAGTACATTGCAAAGTCCTCAGCTCAAGTCTTAGGACTTTCCATAAGTCTGCATGACCCATCGACAGTACTTGGTAATGTCGGCATCCTCTTCAACCACAAGGTTAAAGACTTCCGCGTAGCTCAAATTGCAACTCTTCAGAGCCGGCAACTGCATCAAGGTGCGACCCCTCTGACGACCATCCTTCACTTTCTTTGGCACAGGAATCTTGAGGTTCACTGCTCCTTTGCCAAAGTCCTCAATCTCTGATTCTCTCACAAGTGTCGCATGCTCAGCTTCACTAACAAATGGTGGCTCGAGAAACTTGAATTCATCCTGAGCAACCAAGCGTCGCTTGGACGAATCTGACATAGAACCCTGACTTCGCTCGACCTTTCCAGATGGCTTAGGTCCCTCATGAAGCAGCATAGCCAGAACGCTTTGCCTTTTCCAGAAGCTCTGACAGCTTTGTCAGTTCCGAATCTGACGTCTTCTCAGAAGCCATGGCTCGCACACAGTCTAGGCTCCTAAGGTGCAACTGAAGTTGCCTACCCAACAAGTCAGGCCAAAAGTCCAACGCAAACCCGTTCGGGCTCAGCACAACCACAGTCCACACGGAAGGACGCTCACCTCACACTCTCAGAGTGCAAGCAAACAACCTCCACCTGCACATCCCTCCTCAAAGGATCAACGTGCAAGCGAATCCTTGCGTTCTTTTACGCGCGTGTGCGCGCGTGACTGCATCCAAATATTCATGTATACAGCTATCTATGAAAAACCCAGTCTTTGAAGTTTCACGTTGTTCCAAAGACTGCAAAAACTCTCCGCTGTCTCTCTCTCTCTCTCTGATTTCAACGAAAGCAAGAAAAGCAAACCAAAACAAACTGCAGGTGACCGGAAGTTCTTTCAGACTGCAACGTTTCACGTTTCTCTGAAACATATTCTCTCTAAATTACTGTGCCTCTTGCTTCAAAGCTTGCAGGGCTCCACGAACCAAGCTCTCTCCCAACCGATCGGTGTAATAGGCTGTCTCAGTCCAATTCACAGAATGGAACCCTGCATGTGAAGTCTGGCATCGACACACGCCAAACTCTTTATTCAACTTCATCCTCAACAGCCTGCTGGTTGTGGTGATTCCCAACACCTTTCCAATCGGCTCTCCATTCTTTGCACGACCTCCAGTGGCACACAAGTGCACTGCAAAATCAAAGCCTCAAAGCAATGCTTTGCTGATTCCAACGTTTTTTGCGTCACTGAATGTCTCTTGGATTGGATCTCGTCTCGTGAATGATTCACATGTCGTGTTGGCTCTCCCACCGATTCTTCATGGTTTGAGATTTTTGATGACTTTGTTCATGACACTGGTCTGATCCCCCTTTTGAGTACTCTTGTTCTTCCGCTGCAAAAGTGCATCCTCCCGAGAGACAAAGAAGATTGGATGCCAAGTGTGCCAACGACTTGGCGATGTCGACGGAGAGACAGATTGGACTTTTGGTGCCTGGCGCTTGTGCCATTTGTTCAATCGGATGTTTCGGGGAAGTTGGGAATTCCTGGCGTTCCCAAATTGAGACTTAGAAGCGCCGTCCGTTGAGCCGAAATTCATCTTGCGTTGGGTCTCGGTGTCAATGCGAGCATTGACTCCAGGGCGTCAGAAGTGACGCGTTTACGTCTTTGGCTTCTCACTGACCGATTTTGGCCCGCTCTTGTCATCGTGCACAGGCTTGGTGTTTCGCATCTTGCTTGCGTAGCAGCCAAAACGGTCTGCAGACCTTGGCGTGACGGAAACAAAAAATCAAAGCAAGCATTGTGTTGCTTAGACTGCAAAGAACTCGGATTCAGCTCGCGATCGGAATTTCCTCCCAACACCATCGTCAGACGCTGTTTTGGGTTGGAAATGGCCCAATTCAAAACTGGAGTTGTTGTTGCATCAGGATTCATGGCAAGCCTCTTCGCAAACGAAACACATGGCTGAGGTGCCTCTTTCGGTCAGCAGTCTTTCAGAAGAACAGCTGTGTTGTGGTTGGCAAAGAGTCAAGTGGATTTTTCACCTCAGTTGTATTGTTGAAGGCTTGGTTTCGGGGCTTGCGAACTTGAACCATGTTTGTTTTCAGGATGCTCAGTGGAAACCCTTGTTTGACCCTTGGTGTCGATTTGATCATGTGCGCGCCCAAGACCGAGAATACAGACTTTGTGTTGAGAAAAGGACTGGGTTCATTGCATCTGATGGCTAGGGAGGACAGTTGAAGTTAATGGGCAGAGTCACTCGGAGAAAGAAGGAGAAGAGAGTTCTTGTTTGCAGATATCACATCAATCAAGAAGCTGGTCAAGATTGTCTCAGAAGCGCACTGGAGGTTCGTCGAGCTCTTGGCAAATGGAAAGGATCTAAGAAGCTTCGTTGCCATTTTGGCAGGCTCAGCCCACTGAGCATGCTGAGCGTGCCTTGCGCATGATCCTGAGGTTCATGTCGGACATGGGCGTTTGTTCGTCTTCCTGCTGAAGAAGAAGTGTTGCAGTCTGGTCAAGACATTGAGTGGGCATCAGACTCTTGTTTCGCTCTCGTCGATGGAAGCCGAACTGTTCGCCCTTCAAGCGGAGACGCAGAACAGACAATCCCAGGTGTGTTACATTCAGACAGCGAGAGTGCTCTCAAGCCGCTTTGCAATTGGGTTTCGCCCAGGAAATCTCGTCATCTCGAGATCAGAATCTCCTGGATCAAAGAACGGGTTGAAAGAAAACGACTTGTTTTGCAACTCATCAGGCCTTCTCACCCAGTGCTTGCAAAGCGCTGCTTTCGGTTTGCATCGTTCGAGTATCGGGTTCGAGATTATGGACTTCCCATTTGCAGGTCTTGTGGATCTTGCGCGAGGGTATGTGTTTGTTGAAGTGTGTTGCAAGCAAGATTCAGCAATTTCTCGGGCGTGTAAGAAGCTTGGTTTGGTGTATGTTGGGATCGCCCACAACATGGAGAAACCCCAGGTTTTTCAGGAGCTGGTGAAAACGCTGAAAGGGTTGGAACCATGCAACGTGTTTGTTCATGTGTCCTCTCCTTGGTCCTTGTTCATCAGGATCACCATTAAAGAATCTCACGAGAGACGACGCGATTTCGGTTTCGGATGTCATGTGGTTTGATATGTTCCCTCAAGTGAAGAAGTACCTTAAGTTGGGACACCATTCGTTGTTCGAACTGCCGTGGAGAAACGCAATTTGGAACCGTGTCATGGCCGCAGCCGCTTACCGGCTGGGTAGGCCTTCTTCTCGTCTCGCTCCTTCTCCTTCTTCTTCTTGTCTTTGTCACCGCCACGGTCTCGGCCTCGTCCCACACGATCATCATCGCCACCGGCCTCGCCACCAGGGTGTTCACCTTCTCCGCCATGTTGATCACCTCCCACCTTGGGGGCTTGACGCTTGTGATGCAACTGCCCATAGATGATCCCCTTCAATGCTCTTGCTTGCCTTGGGACACACACCTGCTGGTAGTAGCCTTCGGGATGAGCGAAGTCGAAGGTCCTGGGGAAGTGGAAACCACTGTCCGGTGCGAGCGCCACGAACTTGAGGTCCTCCTTGCGCGGGTTCCAAGCTGTAGCAGTAGTTCTCCGGCCAAACGTCCGAGTCCTGCTCATGAGCTCTCTCGATCTGATCCAAGGCTTTAAGCCGTTCTTTCTTATGCTCCAAGCCCAACACTGACCCGATCATCTTGATCTCGTTCTTCGTAGAGCGTGCAGTTCTTTGGGCTGAACCTGAGAAATGTTCCTCCTGGTTGTCTCAATTGGAGCACCACACTCTGTATATTTATCAATGCATTCGGTGGGTTTTGGATGGTTACATCATGACACGGACTAATACATGCGTCCAAAGCAGCGCAGCTTCGTCCATTCAGGCAGATCTGCACGCGTTGCACAC